GACATTAAAAGAGAATAAAAAGGGGCAGGTGAAAAGGCTCTAGAACTAGGCCTCAGTGAACACCTACAGATGGTTCACTGTGGGTATAACTCTTGGTTTACAAATTCATTTATGCAGGAAATAACACATTGCTGTCTTTAAATCAGTTTTTTGTGAAATTCGTTACTGCCATTTTCTTACAGTTGCCCCGATTTTCCACCTTTGTCCTCCCCCACCCAGCCCCCCCCCTCCAGCCAATCCCCACACTGTTGTGCAGGTCCATGGGTCATTCTTTCCGCCACTATCCCCCTCTTTAAATCAGTTTAATGTTATTCTGAGTCCCTATCCTAATCGGGCTGGTGGGGAACTATTTTATCCATTTGGATAACTTCCTTATCCCCACCCTCCCCGTTATGTGAAGGTGAAGGTCCCTAGGTTTTTTCAGGTGTTAAAGCATCAGGGAGATTACTCTGATCACTGGTCTGTCACTGAAGCACCCACGACCTAGCAAGCCCAGTTTGGCCCACCCTAGTAACTTGCTGTATTAGAACCTTCTGGAGCAAGAACTCATGGACCTAAAGTCCAGCCCCTTCAAGTCACCTGTTGTTGTCTCCTCTCAGGTTCTGCCACTTCCTCAGGGCATGGATAGGGAATGGAGGTGGATCTTTATCACTCTTTGACCCCCAAACTCTTCCTGATATGGATGAAATCTCACCTTCTCCTCTTCTGTTGATCTCAAAGATACTTCTTTTCCCCACTAGGAAACCTGGCTTAATTTAATCTTCTAGGTAGGTTTAGAATTATGTAAAAGTCAGGGAATGCATTTGACCTCAGCCTTTGCTTTTTACTCTGTAAAAACTCTTGAGTCAAGATAATGCTAAGGGCGTGACCATCTGATTAGGAAAGAGGGAGGCAGGTGCATACAGGTAACAAAACACATTTGTATAAAAAATTTACCTTGTCACCATTTGATTAGGGAAGAAGCATGAGATGAAGCTGGAAGTAGATTAGGATCTTTTTGTAGAGATACTGAAATGCCAGGGTAAGGGTTTTGGATTTCATCCTATAGGTAGTACAATGATGGATCTTTACTAGGAATGTTCTGGAAATAGCATGCAGAATGATCAGAGGAGTAAGCTTCCAAGGCTGCATGATGGTTCAGGTTTTAGGTTTCAAGAACCTGAAATAGAAAGTGTAGTGCAAATGTGAAGCACTGTTTCTGAACAAGCTAGAGATATTCAGAAAAAGGATCAAAGAAAATTTAGTGTCTGGTTTGATACAAAAGGATTCTGAGGAATTAAAGGTAACAACTCTGAAGTTTACAAGACCACCCAGTTACAGAAAATGATATGCCCAACCGTACCTCTCCTGCTAATCTATCTCTAGCTTTAACATTATCATAACCATTGCTCTCATTCCTGAAACTCTGTCCCATTCTCACTTGTGCTTTGATTGCAGGAGAGTTTTCTTGAGTCACCTCAACTCAGCAGGTAGCGAATCAGATTTTTCATTATCTTTTGGCAAATGGACTCTACAACTGCACATTTCTGCTCATTTAAACCATTTTATCGATCAGTCTTCCAGACCAAAAACCTTATCTCCATTTTTAATCTTTTCTTCTCCTTCACCCTCTCTGCATATATGTCATCAAGTCCTGCTGTTCATTCCTTCAAAATGATTCTCATATCTACTGCTTTCTTTAGCAGGTATTCCTCTCATCATCTCACATCTCTCCCTGAAACTCCAATTCCTGATCTTTTGACTGAGATTTTACCCGTTGCCTGGGTTATCTTGCTAAAATAGTTTTCATCACACCATCCTCTGCTCAAGTTTATAACACTAAGTTCCGATTCTGATAGTTGCCAAGGCACCACAGCATAGTGTCTGGCTAATAGTTGGCCCTTCATACATGTTCTTTGAATGCGCAGTTATATTGAGAGTAAGATGTATACAGTAGGATGAACCTGGCCATTCAAATGTGCCACAAAATCTCTAATATCTCCCCTTACCTACAGGCTGGCCCTCCCTTCCTTTGTTTCCTCCATTCTAAGACCCACCTCAGAGGCCTCACTTGTCCCCTTCAACTACATTAACCCATGCTAATTTCAACTTTATTTGCACTCATATTGAATTTAAGTCAATACCGTTTAGTTTACAAGTCCATTGTTCTAATCATAGCATCCACATTTTCTCGCCTGCAACTAAACGGAAAGCTCCCTGAAGGCAGAGAAAAGACATACTGAAGTTTGCATAAGTTCTTACTCATTGGTTGATTGATTTAACAATACTTTAAAATTCTCTTAAATAGCTATGGATATTTAATAACTTGAAAGACTCTGATGTTTACTATTTTAAAGGATTCTGCTAATACCCATATTATTACAATCTGTAGTCTAACTGTGATATCCTCTGGTTTTAAGACAGGTGTTTTGAAATGCTGTATTAGTAATTAATGCAAAACACGATTGTTACTGACATCTTAAATATTTCCAAGCAGGCACAGGGAAGTCATGCTCATGATATTACCATAAAGCCTAACTGGCTTGACTTTGCTATTCTTGCATTTCCTCATTTACTTTGGCTTCTCTGCCAGAATCACTTTTTTTTTTCTTTTTGGCATAGTTTTTAGTAATTAGAACAGCTATTTCCAATGCCATAACTAGGGCAGTGAAACCCAATACAACTGGTTTGAGATGTGGGGATTTTCCACATCTGATTCTCTTGGAAACTCCCAACCCATAAGTAGGTCTTAGAAACACTAAAATGCTGAAGGTACAAAAGTGACTATGGTCTTAAGAGATACTTCCCAGCGCCCCAAAATCTAGAGATCGAAACAGAGATAGTGCAAAAGATCCTGACCATAATAATATTGTACTTTAGAATTTTGTTGTAAATTAGTATACAGTTCCCTAAAGTCAGCAGTTTTATCTGTAGTCCTACATTGATGAGTGTTTCAGTTTATCTGCAGACTCTGATCTTTTGACTGAGAATACAGTTTAGGATCGTTCTAATTCAGTGGTTTACACAGTGTGACTCCCAGACAGCAGTATTGGCATCATCTGGGAATTCGTTCGGAATGCATTCTTGGGTCTCATTCCAGACCAATTGAATCAGAAACTCTGAGGTCCCAGCGATCTGTTTGAACAAATGCTCCAGGTAATTCTGATGCATGCCTAAGTTGAAAACCACTGTTTAAATCTAACAGGTTTACTTTGTAAATCAGGAAATTAAGGGCCATATGTAAATGACCTGACCCTAGGACATGCAACCGATGAGTGCTTGTGAATGCATTTGTCAATCCATTTTGAGGGAAAACTGCTGATATGTAAAATTAATAATTTGTTTATTTCATAGTAGCTTGTTATAATATGAAACCTGTTCTTAAATTTTCCTGTATTATGTAGCTTTGATACATTTTGGAAGTAATCATCCTACTCCAAATCATCACAAAAGCCCTGAATCTCACCTTAATATGCTTCAATCATAAATGTGTGGTATGCATATGCATATAAAATACTATTTTCCAAAGCTCATATGGATAGGAACTATAAAGTTTTAAATTTGCAATTAGGCCTTTTATAGAAGTTTTTCTGGGAGGTATTTTCCCAATTTTCAAAGCTATTCTTATGATAAAATGGGGGTTATTTTCAACCAAAGAAATCCCCAGATAAAAGTTTATAAATAATATATATATTTATATTTGAACTATACTAACATATAAAATCTGCAGACCTAAGCATTCAGTTCAGTGAATTTTGACAAATGTACCCATCCATGTATCCGTCACCCAGATCAAGATGTATTTTCATAACCCCAGAAACTTCCTTTGTGCCCCTTTGCAACCAATTCTCCTTATCTCATTGCCCACGACCACTTTCTGAATTTCTATCACTATAAATTCTTTTCTTTTGTTGTTAGATTTAAAGTAAATGGAATCTCATAGGATATACTGATTTGTATATGGCTTGTTTCATGCTTTTGACATTCATTCATGTTGTGGGTATCAGAGTTCATTCTTTTTTTATTGCTGGTTAGTATTGCATTGCATGCATATTAAAACGTGTTTATCCTACGTTTTTCTTAGAAACAATATATTTTTCTTACCAGAAGGGCAGTACATGCTTGTTGTAGAAAGTTACAGATTACAAATGAGGAGAGAATAAGTATTCATAATTCCATTCTCCAGACATGATCACTATTTAATGACTTGTATAACCTACTTAATAACTCGTATTAATAAATAGATCCTTTATATAAATTGTGCATATAGTTATATATATTATAAAAATTCTTATTTTAGGTTCAAGTTTTACCACTTACTCATATTTGTGTGTTAAATTGGCACAAATCTTGATTGTAACTGTAGAATATTTTCTAAATTAAAAAAATCTAAAAATAATACATTGAATACACATTCATTGCCAAAAATTCAGATGATATATGGTATATAGAATAAATGTCCCTGTTCAGTCTCCGCATTTTGCTTGCCTTCCCATAGGCAGGCCATGTTAACTAAATACAATGCCTGACCAAGATGATATTGATAAGAACCATGAAGTGCTGAATTTATCATCACATAATTTTTCATTTATTTTTTAATTTTTACTTTCAAGTTTTGTTATACATCAGTGATCTTTTGAGATTATAAATTATTTTATATTACCAAATAATCACATTAGGACTATTCTAGTACTTTAAGTTAATGTCCACTTTGAAATGCCGTTCTTAACTATTTTCTCCAGAAGTGAGGAGTGCCATCTTCAGATTTTCTTTGATTGTTGAGTGATTCATCCCTATCTGTTGAGGGAAGCCTAGGTATGGGTAGCTCTCTCAGTATGTTGACATTATAACGAACATGTTCTTCAAAGGTAAATTGCCTTTTCTCCAGTTATACTGACTCACACTTCTACACCAAACTATATAATCATTGAAGTTTAGAGACTACAATTAGATACAAAATCTTATTATGGAATAGAGAATAATACAAAGTATTAGTTTCCTGAAAAGCACTGTTTCATCAGTTACTTTGTTTCATTAGCATTTTTCACAGTAGGAAATTGTGGCTTGCATTGACAGTCAAAAGAGAGGCTTGATTAATGTCTTAATTTGCTCTTTTATGGACCTTTGAATCTTTGCTGTTCATTAGAACAATACGTAAGGCAGGGCAGTGTCCTAGTAGGTGGTCTCTCAGTAGGGTGAGTCCAATAACTACTTGCCTCTTTGTAGATCACTATAGATTCCAAAGATTGTTGTTTAATTTCTTCTGACTTTAAGGCTCATATACCTAGAGACGGGCAAAAATGCAGCTGTAATGAGTTTCACTTGGAACTCTGTCTTACATTCTTGGTTTTAGGGCCAGAATATACACACTTAGGTGAAATCACATATGCGAAGTTCTGTACCCCATGAACCCCAAACCCCCAAGAACTGCCCTCTCCCAATGGAGATACTGAGATTTTGATTTGGTGATTAAATAACAATGCACTCATGTGTGCAGAGCACCATACAATTTTAAAATTACTTTAAAATATTCTTTTTATATCAAAATAACAACATCAGCTATTATTAAACGAGCCAAGCACTGTTAAAGTACTTCCCCCAAACTATCTCATTAAATCCTCTGTAGTAAGTTTCAGGGCTTATTATGAGCTCTCATTGAAGACATTTGAATGTCTTCAAGTTTAGGAGTAGGGGCCCAGATGTACCTCGACTGTTGCTGGCTGAGGTTGACCTCTCCCAAGGTCAGTTAGTGAAATCGAGCATTATTGTCTCGGGGAAATGTCCTACTCTGGGGCATTCCAAGTAACTGCTGGGGCTGTTTTCCTTCCTGTCTGGTGCCTGCGTGCCTCTCATACCAAGACACTTCTTTAATGTAAATGATTTGACACCCGGATTCCTCAGAGTTGGAGCTCCAGCTTCCCGCCCGTCTTGGTGTGCATCCCAAGTTCTGTACCCAAGGGTGGGATGACTTACAACTGCACAGTGTTGAGTAAGACGGGCTACTCCCTGAAGTCAGAGAAATCCCCAGCCCTCACGGCGCGGAGAGCGGCACTTCTGACACTGCAGTGGTGCTCGGAGAAGCTAGGTCTTTTCTTCGACCCATCCCGCCCCCGAAATAAGGGCTGCCGCTACCGGAAAGAGAATTCGGCGATGGTCATATACTCCCCTGCGTCCTACATTCTTGAAAAAGCCCACTTAATAGTGCTTAACCAGTTGCATTCACGTGGCAATTGCTAGACTCCTTCTCAGGTGACTGTGCCATCTCTTGATTTCCACTCTAAAAAAGGGGCAAATATCCAGGAGTTTTAAATCCAATCCACCACCCACTCACAACATCGCGAGGGGAGAATCACTCGTCCTCCTTTCTAGGGACTGCCCGTCGTCGCGGGCGAGGTTGAACCGAGCCTCCGGCCGCCCGCCCAACCCGCCCCTCCGGTTTATCCGCCCTTCCTCCAGGCCCGCGTCGGCAGCCCCGGGGCCTCTGAACCCGGGCACCGGACGGCGTAGGGGGAGGAGGTGGGGCTGCAGGCGGGAGGGAGACGCCCGCGGCGGTACCTAGTGGCGCGGCCTGGCTGCCCCGCCTGAGGACGTGGCACTACCCGCGAGGGGAGGGGATTCGCCTTCCTCCTTCCGCGCGGAGCCGCAGGACCAGCTGCAGGCGCGGGAGGGAGGATCCCTGCGGGAGCTGGTGCGCTCTCTCGGTGAACTCCCAGCAGACGAAAGTCGGCGTCCGTCCCGCCTTCCACGGGGAGCGCGCTGTCAGCCAGGTCTGTTGTTCCACCCCGAGGAGGGGTGACCCGATTTGGGACCAAGGGACACACTCGCCACCCGCATGCGCAGAGCCGGGGTGCGGCCTCCGGACTACAGTTCCCAGAGGAACCCGCCCGGGCCGCGGGCGCGGAGCGGCTGACGCCATCTTGAAATCTGATCATCAGTCTCCCAGCCTTTGCGTCAGCCGCCGGCGGCACCTAAAACATCGCGAACCCAGCCTGCTAAAAGGGAGGACGTCGAAGACGCGGCGGCTGGCGGGAGAGACAGCTGGAGGAGAAGGGAAAGGGTCCGGGCGCGGCCTGCGCTGCTGTCACTCAGCATCGCCCTAAGGCGTTTCTTCGCTCGCGCGCTCCCCGAGGGGCGGGGCTGACCGCTCCGGTACCCAGAGCTCGCGCGCGGGTGGCAGAGGTGACCTCTTGCACCGTGGAGACCCCACCGGGCTGTGCCATGCCGGCCCGAAGCCACCGAGACGGGAGACAGAGCGCAACCCAGCGCCGGTGAATGATCACTAAGCAGCAGCCGCCTCAGGGAAGCTGAGAGAGAAGATGAAGGAGATTTGCAGGATCTGTGCCCGGGAGCTGTGCGGAAACCAGCGGCGCTGGATCTTCCACACGGCGTCCAAGCTCAACCTCCAGGTTCTGCTCTCGCACGTCCTCGGCAAGGACGTCTCCCGCGATGGCAAAGCCGAATTTGCTTGCAGCAAGTGTGCTTTCATGCTTGATCGGATCTATAGATTCGACACCGTTATCGCGCGGATCGAAGCCCTTTCTATTGAGCGCTTGCAGAAGCTGCTGCTGGAGAAGGACCGCCTCAAGTTCTGCATTGCCAGCATGTATCGTAAGAATAACGATGACTCTGGCGCGGAGGCCAAGGCGGGGAATGGCACGGTTGACATTTCCGGCTTACCCGATGTAAGATACTCTGCGCTGCTCCAGGAGGACTTTGCCTATTCGGGGTTTGAGTGTTGGGTAGAAAGCGAGGACCAGATCCAAGAGCTACATAGTTGCCATGCTTCGGAAGGCCCTGGAAACCGACCCAGGAGATGCCGTGGTTGTGCAGCGTTGCGGGTTGCTGATTCCGACTATGAAGCCATTTGTAAAGTGCCTCGAAAGGTGGCCAGAAGTATCTCGTGTGCCCCTTCTTCCAGGTGGTCCACAAGCATTTGCACTGAAGAACCAGCACTGTGTGACGTTGGGCCGCCGGACTTAGCAAGCACGAAGGTACCCCCAGATGGAGAAAGCATGGAGGAGGGAACTCCTGGATCCTCCGTGGAATCTTTGGATGCAAGTGTCCAGGCTAGTCCTCCGCAACAAAAGGATGAGGAAACCGAGAGGAGTACAAAGGAACTAGGAAAGTGTGACTGCTGTTTCGATGAACAGGCTCCACAGCATATGTGTAACCACAAACTGGAGCTAGCTCTTAGCATGATTAAAGGTCTTGATTATAAGCCCATCCAGAGCCCCCGAGGGAGCAAGCTTCCTATTCCAGTGAAATCCAGCCCACCTGGAGCTAGGCCTGGCCATATCATGACAGATGGAGCTAGTTCCGGTTTCCTTAACAGGTCTCTGAAACCCATTTACAAGACACCTGTCAGTTACTCCTTGGAGATTTCAGACCTGCAGGAGCTCTGGGATGATCTCTGTGAAGAGTATTTGCCACTCCGGGTCCAGGTATACAAAATGGCTACACAATGCCTTTTTGATTATAGTTATCCAGCCTGAAGCCTCACATAACTGCTGTTTAGGTGAAGGTTAATAATATTATGGACTTAGGAAAATTAATCATTGAGCCCATGTTGGTACCTTTCACTTGTGTGCCATTTAGTACATGTGATTCACACTCAAGTAATTTAATTTTCACAGTCCTCTTTGTAGTAACATCTATTAGCCTTCCCATTATCAAAATTGCAAACTTTTTTTAAGACAAAAAGATAAAGATTCCTAATTCACTCTGACCCTGTGAAAAGACATATAATCTTATTTCTGACCTCAGAACTCTTTTAGAACTTTCCTTTTAGTCCCTCCCCCTTCTTTTTTTGTTTTGTTTTTATTTTTAGATTTGTAGGTGTTTTCTCCCATTCTGTAAGGGAGTTAGTTCTCCCTGGAGCATTAAACCTTTTACCCCCAGGTATGCTTCCACCTGATTAGGGCATAGGGTAAATGTTTGGGGAAACCTATTAATTTACCCAAGTATTGTAACATCTGGGCAATATTTATACTATATTAATAGGTCATTTGAGGACTAATGGTTACTTGCTTATAAAAGGGATTTGGGAATTCAAGTGTTGTCATTTAAAACATTAAGAAGAAAACTTTTCACTGCCAGTTTGTCTACTGACCTCCTTTAGAAGATGTTTGATATTAAAGGATTCATTCATTATCGAGTGATAGGAGAGTTTCATCCATTATACTACTCTTGAATTCCTAAATGACTAGAAGATGGCAGTAGATCTTAATTTGAGCTGTTTGTACAGGGCCCATTGATTATATGCGACCTTTTAAATTCAGCTACATACAGGGACCTGGCACATGCTATTTTGTTTCTACAACAACAGTACATGCTAGGTTCAGTTAACTCTATCAAACATCTGGCACAGTCTGTTTGATACGTGTCCTTTAGTGATACCCATTATAAACGTGGACAACCTAGAAGGCCTTTGTGGAAAGCCAGCTACAGTCATCATCATCCTACAAATTTAGAGCTTGATAACAAATGAAATTGTCACTGGAAGGTTTTGAAAAATAGTTTTATTATGTATCAGATTTGCATCACAATGACAACAGTGTCAGAAATAGTACATATGAAAATGCTATGGAAAAGTCTTAAAATGCTTTTATTTGTATAAAATATTAAGTATTAGTATGCCCAGTGCTTGTGTGCTGCTTTTCTTCTGCTTCCTTTTCTTAGAGTGAAGCCTCAACAGCTAAATTTGGGCTTTACAGTATTTGTGTGACCAGACATAGATGCACAAATGAAACATGGTGCATTCATATTAGGGTCTAAAAGTAGGCTAGGCAGGGTGGGTGGGAAAAAAAGCTTTTTTTACCCCTCTCACATATGGTCACTGTTGCGGAAAGTAAAGACTAAGAAAATTGCAGGCAAAACAAAAGTAACTTTTAAATCCGTATTTAATTAAAAATACTATCTTTTGATGCACGCACTCAACAAATTTTGGTGTTGGGGAGGGTTTTAAAGACCATCTCTTGCAGGTCCTCAGTTTAGAGATAGGGAAAGCTCCAGGCAGAGCCCAAGACCCTTAGCCATTCTCAGCCAAGCCCTTTTTGTTCTGTAAATGTCACATTGCCCGATACCCATTGAATTAAAAGGTACTTACATTAAACAAAGAGCTTTTTTTCTATAACCTAAGGATTCCAGAAGGGGACTTTAGAGATTCTATGAAGAAAACTGCACACATTTAAACTATGTTGACTGTATCTTTAGGTCAAGTCCCTTTACTTCACTAAATTTGGACATTGGAATAATAGACGTTTAAAACAATAGTACATGACTTTTCTGCTGTCACCTGGCTTACATTCTTTATTTTTTATTAAATAATAAAACATCAGGAGGAGGGAGAAAATAACATTCAGCTGGAATTATGACATTTAATTACCATGCCATTTTCTCTGATAATTAAGGATGTGAGGGAAAATAGAAAGATAAATTGAGCTTAAAGTATTTGTAAATAAAATGCCTATTTTGGACCCCTGGTCAGTTCTTTAGGTGGAGCTGACTTTTAAGGTTCCGAGGCCTATTGGGCTTTGTGGCAAAGCAACAGCAAAGTGGAACAAAGGCAGACTGGTTTTTGTCTGTTTCTCTGAACAAATGTGGAAAGAACAGAAACAATGTAAATTATATTTGATGATTGTCTTTTTAGTTTGTAGAAAGAAAAAAAAAATCTCATTTAGTTATACTCTACTACAACTATGAAGAAAACCTCTGATCTTAAAGAGCAAGATTGTTCTGTAAGGTCATTCTGATTCCTTTGTTTAATCCTCTACTTACCCCATTCTCTGCACTATTAAAGTGTCACCATCACAATGCCTCCTGATCACTTGTCTTATTTTCTCTCTCTTTTTTCTTCCTTATATTAAAGACACACAGCTATGGTGTCACTCTCCTGCTTACTAAATTTCTAATATAAATTGACTTACTTGCCTTCTGCAGAATTTGTGCTTGAATACCCAAGGTTGTTTAAATATCCAAACAAAGGCTTGAAGGCTTATTGTAGCTGGTAATTATTCCCTCTTTATTGTCTGTCTGAACTAGAAAAGCTATGCTAGGAGGGGTGTGGTTCCTTAGTAAACAGCCGTTCAGCTCTGGCCCAAGTGCAATTTCCTTTTCTATCTAAATTCAAAGAGCAGATCTTTGCTTCAGGCTTTGCAATCCCAGGGTCTGCTTCTATACCTCTCATAGTTTAGCTGCATAACTTTAATTTAGTCAGGCCGTTTGGAAGGTGTGTGAGCTGCTGGTCAAAGATTAGGCCTTTAATTTTATGTTACCTGATGGTTCTTCTGTATCTTCTCTTATTAACAATAGGATAGAAAATGACAGCAGTTTGAGATCTATGACTTCCTATTGTGAGGACTAGAAAAGTGTCAAGAAAAATTGCTGTTAACCTAGAAGCTATAAATTACTGCCTTTTGGCCTGAAGATCTTAAAATATAAAACATGAGGCCTGGAAGAAGCAATTCTTTTTTCTGGTACTGGATTTGTCCTAAGTCAAGAGCAACTTAATTAAGATTATTACAACATGACTTTAGTAGCTGATAGTCTGGAGATTAACACTGATCAACCAAATCAGTTATTACTGATTTCAGGTTCTATAAAATCTTCATAGGAGTAATTTGTTTATGTACTTGATACTGTGCAAGGATTCATTATGAGCTGTTGACTCAGTGGGACTTTGCTGAGTGCTTTTTTTTTGGCACTCTTAAAGAACATGTTTCTGAGATGTAAAATAAAAAAGTATGAATAAAGAAACAGACATCTTC